AAAAAAAAAAGAAGAGGCACTGGGATTTTCTGAGTTTGAGACCAGTCTGGCCTACCGAATGAGTTCCACACCTACACAGAAAAATGTGTCTTGAAATCACCAAAACAAGAAAATCTGAATCAAACAAGACTATGATCTAACTTTAACCTTCTCACCTTCTGGTAGCAGCAATTACATAGAAATTATATTGAAGTAGAAAAGTCTCTTTTTTTGTCATCTTGCTCTGGCTACCAAGCTCATTCCTTTACTAGTACTAGAGACTACTTCTTTGAAATTTTGGTGAATTCTTAATGCCAGCTAAGACATCAAGCCTCGTGGGCTGAAGAACTACTAGATTCTTCACTTGATCTTTGGTAAAAGGCTGAGAAGCAATCTACTGGATTCTTTAATTGTCATTTATAAGTAGCTATTTTTGGACAACCTGAAACGCAGCTTATGAGACATTCTAATAAGCCCACTTTTTATATACATGTAGAGATTCATTATACCTGTCCTGTTTATGTAGAGAATCTTGAATACCGCAGTTGTATATTTTATCCACCTGACCATGGAGAAAGATGGGCAGGCTAACAATAGTGCTCATGAAGACATTCCTTCTAGCTCCATTATTCTCTACGTATTCACGTTTCCATGAACACTACTCCTTTTATTATTATTCATTTTCCTGGAGTTTGCTTCAAATTTCAGTAATAAAACCAGTAAAGCAATGGAGCCATCATCCAGCCTTCAGATGTGGGAAACACCTATCATCTTGTTTGAGATCTGGCTTCTGCTTTTCTCTTTTCTCCCAGTGCCTCTTCTTGTGCCCATGTAAAATGTACCTTCAGTTCATCTGAACTCAGCATGAAGCCAAACATCTCTTTTGTGACCTTAAAATTCTCCTTAGCTGATAATATTCTGGGCATTCTTTCCCCTGTGGGACAGGAAATTCCTGGATCCACCTAGCACAGCACAGTGCACTGTACAAGCGAACTGGCCAGGTCGTATTCTGGAGGTAAAAGGGAAAGTTCCTAAGGAGTGCAAGATTATGATGACTCAGGTGGATGGAATGGCCCGAAATCTCTGTTCTATCTCTTTAAGCACACTTCAGTCTTGTGGGAGGTGTTCTTGTCACTCAGGCCTCGCTATCCAATCAGGCCCTCCAGAAGACCTGTCAGTCAGATGTTCTGCAGCGCTCTTCCGGGCTTCCGCATTCATTCTCGATTTTGCAGAGGAGCTGGCAGCATTGGTTTCCTGTGTTGCTGCTGCAGGGAGTTGATAAACTGAGAGCTTTGGCGAGCTGAGAAACCACAACATGGTGAGCAGGGGAATGCTGTCTCCAGATGGGGAGGAGCAGAATGTGAGGTGCGGGAGACGGTATGTTGTGTCCTCCTGGGATCCGGGTGGGAACCTGCCACCAGATTCCCTGCATTGTGAAGTCCCACGCGGTCCTGTTAATTCCTAGACCTAGGGACAGACCTCTGAATAACTTTGCGCTTTGGGCTTAATCCTCTTACAGATCTGGGAGCAGGGTGCTGTGTGTACAAACATCTTTCTTGTCAACTTCAGTATGCCAAAGTGAGGGATGCCTAGTTTCTTAAGTATCTTCTTGATATTGAGCACTTTGCATATAACCTTTACATACAATCTCCATTTATATTTAACTATGTGGACGATATCAAGGCATCTCACCTGTTGGGTAGCACTGCACTTCTAAGCAGTACTTCTAAGTAGAAGAGAATTGCTGATACAAAGGATTCGCCAATGCCTTGGAAATAGTTCAGTCTCCCAAAATAGAATTTAGCCGAGGGAAGACTGCCTCTAAATCACCCAAAAGATAAATGTATTTTAATCATTGCTGTTAGAGTTTGGGATGCTAGGGTACACATTGTTCAAATGGATTGTCCAGATATTTGGCTACAAACCGTTGCAAAGAATCCACTGTTGATTTAAAACCAGACACCAGGCACTTCCTCATATCAAAGAACAACCTCTATCAAGCCTTTCAAGGAGGCATTACAGTTTGGCACCATCAGTGTTTGAAGTGATTTCTCAATGAAAGTTATATTAATTCTAGAACAGCTGCATTTCCATCCTGTTAGGAAAATAGTTTCTGAGACAAGTTCT